CGATAAGATAATGTTATCGTGCTACTGCTGGTATGGAAGCGGTTACCTTCCGATGTCCTGGTATCAGTAAATTTGATTTTAAGGAATGACTTGATGATAAAATGTTGCTTGAAGTTAAGCACAAAGCTGCACAATGGGCTATCTGTGCTCTGCCCACCACGGGTATCGAAACCCGGTTTCTAGCGTTGTAAGTCCGCAGACATGCCATTTGTGCCACTGGGGGGGGGGGATTTAAATTCGACAAAATGGAAAATACTGTACTTTTATTAAAATACTTGACTCCACAAATTTACACTGATATATTTTTTTATTGGTTATGATATTTTAATATAACTTTTACGAATTAAAAAACAAAACAAAAATACGTTCAGATGGTTCACTGCAGCTAATGTAAGAGAAAACGACCCCGTCTTTATTTTTGTGGTGCATACAAGTCGATAAGCCTTGACAACAAGGTGTCTGAAAGTACATTAGGCCCCACGATGATAATGTTCATGCAGCTTTGAAGTCTTACCCCATTTGTTTTCTCTGCTTATTTGAAATACGGTTCATGCCACTGAAAGAACGCTCAACTCCAGCAGTTGAAATTGGCACCACCATCAGGCATTTAGTTAATTTTTTTAAGATTGTTGTAATCGTTGTTTGATTTCTACATGTAATGCACAACATTTTTATCTCGATCTTCTTGCTCTCTTGCAACGTACTTGAAGAAGCTCAAGTCAGCACATATGGCATCAGCATCCAGTCCATCAAAGAAGCTACACCCTCTCTTTGCATCATCATATGTCAAGCTGCACACTGACTGGACCGTTTGGAAGGAAGCACATACATTTGATGAAGTAAACCGCTTGATCATCGAATCGGTGCTCCATTTGTTCAATCATAGGGTCAACAATTTTTTAACATTTTTGAAGGTTTGACTTTCTGACTCATCTTCAAGAATCGGCTGCACACCAGAACCCTTCATTTTGAGATGTACGACAGCTATAGCAATATATGTTGTTGTTTTTTAGTTTTCTTTACTTAAATGGGCACACTGAATCCTTATGTCTCTAAAATGTGCTATCGTCGACGCCACAAGCTGAGGAACTGTCGAGAGGTTTAGGTTTTATTTTTGCAAAACTTTAATGAGATTAGATACTGCACATAAAGCCTCATCCAAAACTGCTAGCATAAGTAGAAAACTAGATTTCTCCATTTACAGCAAGATATCTTATGCTAACAATGCTAAATCTGCTCCATCTTTGTATATGTGCTAACAGGCCATCATAATTGAGCAGTAACAAGTTACGACAACATGAACAGATTTTTAATTACTGAGCCAGCACACTTCAACTGATTCTGAAAGTTTTCGTTCATGTTCTTCCAATTACCTCTGGACCTTGTGCAACACACATTCACGCTTTGATGAGTTGTGGAATAGTGAATATATGCCTTTGATGACATAAAGAACCCTCTTCACACACACTATTTTATTTCTAGTGCTGGTTGCTAAAGATAAAAGATGGGCCCTACAATGTACATAAGAAATTTCCCTTCCTGCTTTCTCTGAAAGTTGCTTATGCACACCACTTATTTTTTTCTGAAAAATTGGCAGCACCATCGAATTATTTTCTTGCAATCCAGATTTCGTTTCATCAGCTCTCTATCAAGTGAACTCATGGTTTCAGGATCAGTGCTTGCTAAATCAGTAATGCTCAAGGATTTTTCTTTTATTTGAAAAGCACAAAACAAATAACAACGTTTTGACCTCCTTAGGTCATCGTCAGGTTAAGAATAAGATTTGACAGAGTAACCATTATTCA